GGGGAAGCCCTTCCTGCCTCTCCCCCCTCTCTGAAGAACCCCTGTGTCTTCCTCCCAAGGCTACCTCTCCTGCTGCCGCTTTCTTGACGATAACCAGATCATCACCAGCTCTGGAGACACAACTTGGTAAGGCAGAATGAATTTGGGGGGGGAGCTGCCAAGGGCTGGGGGGGGTGTTGTATTTTTGTTTATGCGATCAGCTAAGGCGGCCCGTGATAGGCGAGGTCTCAAATCTCAGATATGTGGACTGTCACCCATGGGGAGAAGAAATGGGGGGGAGAAAAGTCTTCTCTCCCTTTTCAAACAGGGGTGCCTCTCTCTCTCTCCCTCCTTTCTTTTCTTTTTTTCTTTCTTTTTTTTTTTTTGCTGGAGGCAACCTTTTCTCAGGTAAGGCAAGGGAGTTTTACAGAGTGAGGCTCTAGAAAGAGGCTGGAAGAAGGGCTGGCAACGGTATCTGTCCCTCTCTGTCAACAACTCGGGGGGCGGGGGGAATAAAAGCCACAGCAAGAAGACAAAAATGTTGCGGGACCTGAAACAGTAAGGGCTTGATTTTAAGTGGCTGTTGTGGGTTATTCGGACTCTTTGGTTGTGTTCTGAAGGTTGTTCTTCCTAACGTTTTGCCATTCTCTGGCCGGCATCTTCAGAGCACAGAGTGCTGTCCTCTGAAGACATGCCCACAGAGACTGACGAAACGTTAGGAAGAACAACCTTCAGAACACGGCCAAAGAGCCCAAAAAACCCGCAACAACCATTAGATCCTGGCCATGAAAGCCTTCGCGAATAGCTTGATTTTAATGTTGAGTTTTCATGGACCGAATCCACTTTCTCTGACTTGTCCACGAAATCTCACATTATAATCAAGCGGTTAACCTTTCAAGTCCCGCAACGTTTCCACCTTCTTTTATTTTTCTCTTGTTTTTGGCCTGATTTGCTAGCACAGACAAACAGAGCTACCTCATAAAAAAACCCCACAACAAACACACTTTTAAAAATCAAATTCTTCCAATGGAAAGCAGGTTGCCAATGCAAAGTCGATCAGTGTTCTGCTTGTTCATTATACGCTTTCGTTCCTTACGCCCTGGGCCATGCCCTGGCTGGCTGGCCTCTCTCCTTCCCCCCACCCCAGTGCTCTGTGGGGCAGATGCTGCTAGAGACCTACACCCCCCCCCTTGAGAGGGCAGGCTCCCCCCCCCACAAAGTCCCACGGCCAGACGCCTGCCGGTCTGGCGGACCTTAAAGGGTCCCCTCCTCCTCCATATTGTGAGCCCTCCTGTGGGCGCTTCCAGAAGAGAAGGATCAGCCAATGGGGTGCTGCTGTCTTTGCCCCGGGGGTCCTCCCAGGGGTCCACCATCCTCCCATTTTTGGGCGAGGCTCCTTCCCTGCCCCCCTCCCTTGGGAAGGGGGGGGACAAAGGGCTCCTGGAACAGAGTCTCAGAGCGTGGGTAGGTGCCTGCAGTGGCTGATTCAAAGATGGGCCCTACGGGGTCTCGGACTCTACGGATCAGACTGGGCGCTTTCACCTGGGCCGAGGCTCAGCGCAGCCAGTGCAGGATTGGTGCGGGGGGGTTCCCTGTGCATGTCGCCCCAGTAAGCATGCGTGCATCCGGGTTCAGGTTTGTGGCGTGCCGTTGGAGACGCCCTGTGTGAAGTGCCTCCCTGTGGCTTAATCTGGGCGGAGTGAGGATAGGCGTGGCAGAAGCCAGCTCCGCTTTCCTTCACCGGTGCTGTGCTTGACGCCGAAATGAGAAGATGAGTTTTTTGAATTGGGATTTCCAGACTGGGCCAGCCCCACACCTGCCGTCTGTCTCCTCTCTTTACCCAGCGATGACCCCATAGCCTCTCCTTCTGGTCAGGATGAAGTGTGGGCTGACCTCGCCTGTGGGAGGCCGGCTTCTAAGCAGCCCCTTGGGATTTCTGGGTCTCCCCCCCCCCAATAAGGCAGAGCGTCGGTCTGAGATGGATCCGCCCAAATGCTGGGAAGGTTCGCGCAGCTGGAGGATCAGAAGGCTCCGAGAGGCCCAGGGGAACAACGCCCTTGGTTAAAAGCAGGCCAGGCTCTTGGTGCGCCCTGGGAGTGGGTCCGACGAAGGGATCCAAAGAATGGTTTCTAGCCCCATGGAAGGGGAGCTCTGGAAAGAGAGCACAGGTGCCTGTGGAAAAGAGGATAACGGAGGTCCCTGAGAAATGGCCACTCCGCCTCCCTTTCAAGGACAAAAGCAGAGGCCCCCTGCCTTCGGAGGGCACCCGTTCCCCTCGGAAGAATCTTCCTTGTCATCTAGCCCGGATCTTGTTTCCTGCAACCTGAACCCCCTGGGAGCTTTCGGGGCTCCCGTCAGGAAAGGGAGAAACACAAGCTCCCGGCAGCCTCTTTGCATTATTGGAAGGTGGCTCTCCTGGCGCTCCTCCCGAAGGCAGCCGGGCTCCCTCCGCCCTGCCTGCCTGCCTGCCTTCCGAACCTCAGTCATCCCCTTTCTCTCCTTCCTCCCCTGCCCAGCGCCCTGTGGGACATCGAGACGGGCCAGCAGACCACGACCTTCACGGGCCACAGCGGGGACGTCATGTCCCTCTCCCTGTCCCCCGATATGCGCACCTTCATCTCCGGCGCCTGCGACGCCTCCATCAAGCTGTGGGACATCCGGGACAGCATGTGCCGGCAGACGTTCACGGGGCACGAGTCCGACATCAACGCCGTCTGTGTGAGTGCGTGGCGCGGGCCCGGGGAGGGGAGGCACGTCACTGCCAGGGCGTGCGAGCAGCAGATGGAGCTGCCTAAGCAAGGACACCGCAGGGGGAGAGAGGACGGGACCCCCCACCTCAGTCGGGGAGGGGAAGGGACTTGTGTGGCAGGCCAAGGGCCTCCGGAAGAGAATGAGAGAGAAGGAAAGGCCTCTGCTTCCAACCCCGTGGGGGGGCAGCTTTGGTGCTGGTGGGGGCCGGAGGCCGAGCCGCTCTTCCCTGGCAGAATGAGCTTCGAGAGGTTGCAGCAGAAGCCGAGGCACCGGGTTGGGCAGGAGGGCGAAGCCTCTGGCTGGGGTGCACCAGGGGCTTGCCACCTCGGACGCCGTCTGCAGTTGCAAGCCCCTGATGGGTGGCAGCCCCCCCCCGCCCATATGCACCCCAGCCGGAGGCTTCGCCCGCCTGCCCAACCCAGCGCCTCCGCCCCTGAGGCCAGAGCAGAGAGAGGGCTTCCCTCATGTCTGCCAGCTCGCTCTCTCTCACTCTCTCTTGCCCAATACGGGTACCGTAGGAGTGTGGGTCCTCCCCGGGACTAAAAAAAATGAGAATGGCTCCAGCCACAATCACGGACCCCTCGGGCACACCCCCCCCCCCAAATCACTGGCCCTGTCTGGAAGCTTGAGGAGGTTCGGGGAGGAGAGACACTGCTGATGCCTCTTCTCTCCCCCCCCCAGTTCTTCCCCAACGGGAACGCCTTCACCACGGGCTCGGACGACGCCACTTGCCGCCTCTTCGACCTGCGGGCCGACCAGGAGCTCATGATGTACTCCCACGACAACATCATCTGCGGCATCACCTCGGTGGCCTTCTCCCGCAGCGGCCGCCTCCTGCTGGCCGGCTATGACGACTTCAACTGCAACATCTGGGACTCCATGAAGGGCGACCGGGCAGGTGAGCATCTCCTGGCCGCCCTTGGGGGTGGGTGGGACATCCTTGCTGTTCCCTTCCAGCTTTCTTGGCAGCCTCTCTTCTCTGCCCTGCTTCCCTTTAGTCCTCGGGGGGGGGCAGCCGGGCATCCTTTCTAAGGGGGAGAGAGGGCTGCCCCCCAAAACTCCATGCAGATAGTGGTGGATCGCTCCCTTCTTACAGCACCAGGCGGGGACAGTGGGCAGCCTTGGTGGGCTCTCACCCACCCACTTTAGCCTAAAAGCTCAGGGATTCCCCTCCACGTGTTCAGATGTGTTTGATCCATGTCGTGTGTGTGTGTGTGTGTGCTCACGAGAGAAGGTGTGGGGGGGCAGCAGGGAGGAGTCCTGGGGGGGGCACACACGTCTTCTGAGCGTCTGGCTGTGAACAGGGGCTCCCTTTCCCAGCATGCCTCTTCACTATCTCCAAGATCCACAGGCCCTCCTTCCTCTCTCCATCATCCTAGATTTCAGGATCTAGTGCTCAAGGGACAAGAAGCCAGATTCAGGATGAAGCTCAGGGAAAAATTAGGTTCTCGACGAATTAGAGTAGTATGACAATTGGAGCCCACCACCTTCCCCGGAGGTCACGGGCTCCCTTGTCGTACAGCTCTTACAGTTAAGAAGTTTTAACCCAATCTTCAGCTGAAATCTGTCTTCCTGTCCCTTGGGCCCAGGGTTGCCTGTCCTGCCCTCTGGGGTGGCCGAGAACGGATCCGGCCCTTCCTCTCAAGTATTTGGAGCCGTCCTCTTGTGCCTCCTTTTCTCCTGGCTAAACGTGCCCAGTTCTTCCAGCTCTGCTGGGCCTCCTCGGTGTTTGAGGACTCCGGCCCTGCTGCTTCCTGACGCCCTCTTTCCCCCTCCTTCCCTCGCAGGCGTCCTCGCCGGCCACGACAACCGCGTCAGTTGCCTGGGCGTAACGGACGACGGAATGGCCGTCGCCACCGGCTCTTGGGACAGCTTCTTGAAAGTCTGGAACTGACCCCCTTCGCACCTGCTCTGCATTTGGGGGGTGGGATGGGGTGTGGAGGGGGGGTGGGGGTGGAGGTGGAGAAGGGGGGCATAGAAAAGGTGGCCCTTCCCGGCCCCGTCACCTACTCTCT